ATATAATATTTATTTAATGATTATGAATTACCACAAATCGATATATAAATTATTATTAATTTATGTTATAATAGGTATAATTATAAATTATACATATTATTATATATATTTTATGTATATAATTATAGTTGACTTACATTTAGCTTTCAGCAATGAACTTACACCAGGAAACATGCGGAGCCTCTAGGATAGAAAAGGTGTACAGGGTTCGAGCTAAAGCTTTCCGTATAATTCATCCCTTTCACTTGCATCAGAATCCCCCCCGGTGGGGCTTTCATGCCAAACTCCTCATATGTGTATTTTGTTTGTCCTAATCTAGTCGTACACCAAAACTCAATGACAATGGATTCTGGGAGTTAAGAACTATAATCTCACGTAAAATTAAATGAACCTGGCGTACAAAACCCATTTTCTTGCTGACACTGATCCACCTGAACTGGAGAATGTTTAACCTCCCAGATTCATGCTTCAGAGAAGCTCCATTTCACTGGCACTGCTGAGTGTCTTGGATACTCTCTAATAACTCTGAGAAAGAGTGCTACCAAGTATTTTGCTCTCCTGCATTTGATTCTGTGATCTTGGCATTTTCGCCTGGTTTGAGTGAAAAGTGGGAAACTACACAAAAGCCTATCTTTCACTACAAGCATCACGCAAAACCAAGAGAAATATCCTACCCTTTTAACGGAGGTCCAGAGCCCATCCCAAGGAACCAGACCAATAGAAATCACCTGTGCTTCCTGTGCTTCCAGGATGTAATCAAGGGCAAATTCAATTTACTCCCTTCAGCCCCAGAACTGTTGCTTGGTATGGAATTTCCTCCAGAAATATAAACTGTGTAATATAGGTCTGCCGAACAAGCACTTAATTTTGAGACCAAGCAATAATTCAAAGGGGTGAATGAAACTTAAACCCGTAATTACAGCAAAACGACCTTTGAGTAGATTAATTTAGTGAGGAAAAAGTTGTACCAGGGGCTCCTTAAAAGAATAGATCAAATTCTGCTAGCACAGGCAAAAGCATGTTCATGTAGATTGTCATAAAATGAGCTCAGTTTAGTAATCGCAAGTGCTTCTCCAAAGAGTGACGCTCTTGAGGTTTTTGAAATATGAACTTCCACAAAATCACCAACTCTTGGATTCCTTTTACCATCATTCTCAACCCTATCAGGGACAGGCAAGTTTCTGAAAGATACCCTGTGGCCTCTATCGCTCTTGCCTATAAGCTCTGTGTCAGGGGCCCTCTTATTGGGCCCTTCAACTAACACAAGTTGGACACTGCCAAGTTGGGAGTCAAAGCACTGACCTGTACTCTCCCGGAAAGCTTCAATAAGCTCTGTTAGCCGTCTCTGCTTTACATCTTCAAGAACATCATCCATGTAATTCCTGTGGGCATGGGTTTTCTCTCTCATACTGTATGCAAACATGTATGCCATATCATAACTGACAGCCTTCATCAGGGTAAGTGTGTCTTGGTGCTCCTCCTCTGTTTCACCACAAAAACCTGCATCAAGGCACCAAATTATTCAGACAAGAAATGATTCATAAGCAATCCTATCCCCAAAATAGTCCAACCAATTAAAATTAAAAGCTCAAGAAGATTTGGTCAACTACTGCCAAAACATGGGAGTGCTTGGCAATTACAGGATCCATATGAAACTTAAACCCCAGAGATTCATGATTGACAGTGGTACCATTTGATAATCAGGGAGAGTCAAGGAACTTGATGACAAGCCATGAGGTGTAAAAGAACCAGAAAAATGCAATAAAATGAAGAAAATCAAAGAAGAGAAGATAAAATAATTAATGAAAACTAAGAATATGATGAGTAAAACCAATGTGAATAAGACTCTCACCACAAATAAAATCACTGCTGATCCCCATATCAGGAATTATACTCCGTATCTTACTCACAAGTTCTAAATATGCTTCTCGTGTATAGCCACGTCGCATCTTTTTCAGCATGTTACTGTTCCCTGATTGTGCAGGCAAATGGATGCTTTTGCAGATATTGTGTCTGTCTCGCATTACATACAACAACTCATCAGGAAAATCTTTAGGGTGTGGTGAAGTGAATCTAAACCGCATCTCCGGAAATTCCACAGCAAGTCTATCCAAGAGATCTGCAAAGCGTAAACCCATCTTTTTAACCTTACACATGCTGGAAAAACCTTCACTAAGTTTCCAGTTTACTCCTGGTTCAATTTCTTTTTCAAGCCCGGATGTGTCATTGTAACTGTTAACATTCTGACCAAGAAGCGTCACCTCTTTAACACCTTCTTTCCAAAGCTCTCCCACCTCTCTAACAATGGATTCCACTGGCCTAGATCTCTCTCTGCCTCTGGTGAAAGGCACAATGCAAAAGGAGCACATATTATTGCAACCTCTCATAATTGAGACAAAAGCACTGATTGAATTTTTAGAGATACGAACAGGATTGATATCAGCATAAGTTTCTTCAAGTGAAAGTAGAGTGTTAATCCCTTTTTGACCAGAGTCTACCTCTTCTAATAGGCGTGGCAGGTCTCTATAAGCATCAGGTCCACAAACAACATCAACCATCTTATCTGCATCTAATATCTTCTCCTTCAACCTCTCAGCCATACAGCCGAGAACAACAACTTTCGGAGGATGCAGGGACTGTGACCGTCCAATGGCAACATTGCTCTTCCAATGCCTCTTAAGAAACCAAAAGTAATTGAGCCTCTGCCATACCTTTTGCTCTGCATTGTCCCTAATAGCACATGTGTTGACAAATATTATCTCTGCACTCTCAGGAACATCCACCACTTCACTATACCCAGCTTTCTTCATGATAGATAATACTATCTCCATATCATTGACATTCATCTGACATCCATATGTTTCTTGATAAATACGACCTCTTGGAAGAACTTCAGTAGGTGCTATCAAGCTAGGACAAAAACAAACAAGAAAAGAAATAACAATGAGATATTTCTAATTGGACTTAAGAGCACTTTATGTTTAAGAAAACTAGAAGTATATGAAGTCGCTGGTAATTAGACACTGCACTGTTGACAAGACAACAACTCTGTGCATATAACGGCTTTAGTTTCAGAAGTTACCCATCTGTATGATCAGTCAACACTAAACACTATGAAGAGCAAATACAACTATTCAACATCAAAACCGGAAAGCGTCAAGAAGGCAAAGGTTAAATAATGGCATTGTTGAGCATACAATAATAACTAAATGAGATACTAAAAATGAATATGCTCAAACAATATAATCCCAACATATCCAATTATGACGTCAAATACTGATGCAAAATCGAAAATTGCATTCAGTGGTTTCTCTTTTAGCTTGATTACTAGCCAAATAAACCGATAAGGCTTATTCATTTTTGTAGCAGTAACTAACAGTTGAGCTCATTACTAACGTACAAGCTTCAAGTTGAATAACAACCAGGCAATTCTTCGAGATTAAATCTTTCTCAGATTTCTCAGATTATCCAAGACAAATACTTCCAGCGGACAGAACCCATAATTAATACAAACATAAAACCACGCATAAAAATGAAATCGATGGAATCCCCAACTTACTCGAATTGGGGTTCAGAAACAGAAGGAACGGGAGTAGCTTTTGGCATGAAATGGTGGAGACTCGGGATATCTTGCTTTTGGGAAAGCGGAATGTGCGATGCTGAGTTCCGAACGAATCCTAAAGAGAAGTTTAAACATCGCCGCGCTTTTAATAATGGCGAGCGGGAGAGGACATGGTAGGAAGAACGGGAGAGAGATGATGAGGTTTTCAGGGGATTTGGGGACCCAAGGAGTCGGCGAGAGAAGGCGGCGGAGCATCTCCGAGGAAGCCGGATGATTAGAGAAGGGTGGTGGTGGGGTTGGTTTAAGACAGACGACACTGAAGAAGATATGGAAGCAGCAGCGGCAGCAGTGGCAGTCGCCATTTAGCTTTGATAGACTACTTGGCTTTGGGAAGTCTGAAGGAGAGAGATGGATAGGGCTCGGAAAATGAAAGGATCCGAATAGCAAGCGGGCAGTGCCTGTCCGACCCATTACTTCAGTTTTGTTTAACACCTTAAGCTTGTTTGGATGGATAATTGAAACTTGGGAGTTTCTTTTTTTTTTTTTTGGAAAAAAAAAGAGAATGCAGAACAATTGAAATTGTTTCTTGAAAAATTAATGAAGTGATTTTTCTTTCTTTCATTTCCTTCTAATAAGTGGGAAAAGTTATAGATAAAAAAGTGAGACTATTTGTCAACATATTTAAGTTGCCTAGTTTACCAATAAAATGAACAATTAAATAATTCAAATTGGAAGACTTTTTCTTTTTCTTTTTTAAGTGGAAGCTCTTGAGGTCATGATCTCTTATTTAGACGGCTTTCTCCTGTATCACCCAATCTATTTACACCCCTCCTCCCCAAAAAAAAAATTGGAAGTTAAGTACCTTAGATGCACATTGTCTATTCATTCATGATCAAAATTTTTTTTTTTCCAAATTTTCGACAAACAAGACAATGTGAAAATGTTGATTTCTTTTCATTTTCTCTCCTAAATTGAACTTTAAATTTTTTCCCATTACCTAATTTGGATGGAATTAGTTAAAAATAAAAGCCAGACATATGACCAAAGGGTGATTGTCTCTTTTGTATTTTTTGGAGTTTCAAATAAAATGGTAATAAGACATATTGGAATAAGTAAAAAGAGAATGAAACATGCAATTTATTTTTACCAGCACTGAGTGCACCTGCACATTGTCGAAGTATGGACTTTAATCACAAAATGACTTTTAAGATTTGATTTTTAAAAATTATTTTATTATATTTTATATTGATTTTGAATTTTTTGGACATAAAAAGCTGAAAATCAGAAACAAGTTTTTATTTTTTTATTTTAAGTTTTTAAAATTAATTTTTACACAATTAGAAATAGTTGAGAACAAGACGCATGCACCACAAGAGAAAGGACAGGATAGAAGTGGGCATGGCAACGAGTCTGAAGCTTTCAACAAAGTCAGCCTCTCCTACCCAAAAAAAAAAAAAAAAAAAAAAAAAAAAAAAAGTTAGCCTCCAATTTATCCAAATACTTGTCTCTTCTATATTTCTTTGCCCAAACTGGTCCTAAAACTCCCTTAATAGCCCAGTAATCTGACACTATCATGAAATAGCTCGCCCCTCAATAGTCATCAAATTCTCTACGAGATGGAGAAATGGAGAGCTGCTGACCGTCTGCTCAAATTCTCTAGCAGGTTCGCTTCAGGTACCAAACTTACGTGCACAATTATCAACTATGATCACACACACCCGCTAGTATCAGAATGCTGTTTTTTCCCTATCCCATTTTATTGGTAAGTACTCCTATGTAGTCTTTATTTCTACTGTAGCAATGAATAGCAAAGATGGAGCAAGTTGGTTGTCTTGTTATTGAATTTCAGTAATTCAGATTAGGAAAATTTATGACAAAAGAAATTATACTGCTTTGAGGGGTATATAAATTTAAAGACTTTTTTCTTGCTAATAAGTCGTAGCTTATCTGGAGATCAATAGATTATCAATTTCTACGCCCTGCCTATGTTGTAGACAAAACAAATGCAGATTGTCTTATTAAGTTTATAATTGGTGTTTTATTTGTATGCTAACGACAGCGGTTAATTGGAACAATAGCTGTAAAAGCAAACAGGGGAAATATTTTTATTCCGTGGCCACAACAGTGCACAGAAATCCCTTGTTTTCTATCATTAGCCCTGATGATATCAGCTATTTCAAGACCCTATTAGGGGAGAGAGGTGTTGTTCAGGATGCATTGGCACTGGATGCTGCAAATACTGATTGGATGGGCAAGTACAGAGGCTCGAGCAAGCTGCTGCTTCAGCCTAAGAACACTGAAGAAGTACATAACTTTTTTTTATTGTTTATTTAAGACATTGGGTTTTTTTTTTTACCCAAAGAAGTCAAGCGTAATCATCTGTTGTGCCCACATGGTTTATGCAGGTTTCACAGATTCTTAAATACTGTAATTCCAGGTGCTTGGCTGTTGTTCCCCAAGGTGGAAACACAGGTCTTGTGGGTGGAAGTGTACCTGTTTTTGATGAGGTATATATCATAACTCATTAATTTATAGTGCGTTGAATCTTTCAGTTTATCTAAGATGAATTCTGTAGTAAATATGTTCTTAATGCAGTTAATTGGAACATAATTTGTGTTGTGCTTGGAGAATGTATATTGTTGATGAAAAGGGTATTGATTTACTTCTACATCTTATTATTGCTTCAAGGAGGAGAGACTTTAATTGGAATACAAGGTGTCGGATGTAAGCATCGATTTTGTGGTGACATGTAGATTTCTGCTGGCAGTTTAAGCGCTGTAGACTTGTTAAATTACAAAATTAATACTATTTGAAAAGTTTGATCACTAAATGATCAGGGGATTACTTGGAGTAAGGTTGTTCTTTGTTGAGTGTTGAGTCATTTAATTTTGAATTCATAGTAGAATGAAGAAACTAGTATCCTGATAATGTTTTGATCTATCAGATATTATCACAGCCAATCTAATCATAGTTCAGTCTTGACAAGTTTTGGGGTCCTAAAAGGATTCATTTGTGGTCAAACCAACTTTGAACTAATGGTCTAGCGACACCTATCTAAAAATGCATTCAGGAATACATTAACTGCTTTTGGAAAATCTAGTGGCTTCCACATGTTGCATTTCCCAAACCTTCAAATTCTCAGGCACCTGGCTTACTTGTCTCATGTTGAAACTTCATAGGTGATCATCAATGTTGGTTTAATGAGGAACATCCTTTCTTTTGACAAGGTAATAGTAAGTTCACTGATCTATATTTCAAATTTCTGCTTTCATGCCAGATATTCAACTGAGGCATTTTGCCTGGCTTTTGTTATTAACATACACATTGTGCATTTTGATTTTGAAAGGATGTTGTAGAAATGGAATAGACTGTCTTTTCTTTATCAGAGTTTTCATTCTTTAGAGTGTTAGTGTGGCTTTGCTAATTTTCATTTCCTTCCACTTCAAACTTGGGTTAGAAATTAAAAATTAGAAATTATCATGTCAGTTGTAAACTCAAATTGCTGAGATGAGTTCCATTGTCTTTCCTTTTGTTGTCTTTTCCAGGTCAGCGGTGTCCTGGTTTGTGAAGCAGGATGCATATTGGAAAACTTGATTTCTTTCCTAGATGATGAAGGGTAAAAATTCACTACTTTGTCATAATTCTTCTCTGAGACTGCAAAGAACATAGAATACTCAATATAACAGATGGTTAGTTGATGATGACTGTGATGTCCTATTATGCCATTTTCACTTGTAGTCCTGAGTAGATGTGATAATTCTGTGGAATTTTTTTTTTGGTGGTTGTAAAATGGTTCTGCTATAGTAATGTTGCTACCTTAGGGTTCCTGGTGTATTCACCAGCTCACCAAATTACTTCAGTCACCTCTGTTGAACAAGTACTTAGTGTTCAAAGATTGTATGCATGAAAGAATTTCTTCTATTCTATTTTTGCCTGATCAAAATTTTGCTTTATGAGGAGTGGAGAAGTTTTGTTCATATGTTATTCATTTAACAGATCTTTTTCTGATTTTAATTCTGTTTCAAGCTTTTGGCGATGGTCCTCAAATTTCATGATCATGCCTTGAAATATGTAATTGAGTATTTCTTTACACATCTAGCTGTATTAGTGAAGTTTTGGTTCCTTTTCAGATTTATTATGCCCCTAGATTTAGGAGCCAAAGGTAGCTGTCAAATTGGAGGAAATGTATCAACTAATGCTGGTGGGCTACGTCTTCTGCGATATGGTTCACTACATGGCAGTGTTCTTGGTAAGCATTGTTCCTCGTTTTCATGTTCTTAACTTTTTTATGCACTGATATTGGGTATGCTTTTCCAGTTCAATACTGATACCACTCTTATGCATAGAATTTGCTTTTGATGTCTTGAATTGTAATTGATGTATAATGCTGATATCTGCGGCCAGTAGCCTCATTTGGAGTTCAAGTTTAAATTGAAAAGGTCCCTGTTATTCCTAAGTTGTCTAATGTAGATTTTGCTGGTAGCATCTGAGTAAAATTTGAACTGATATTCCACTTGACTTTGTACATTATACACGAATTAGATTTAGCATGTGAGTAAGTAGGAACAGGTAATCACAATTACATATTTATTCATGTTGCATAGTGATCAGTGTTGCTCGGCTGGATAATGCCTCTGTTTATTGAAAGCAGTTTCAGGGTACTGTACTATTACTGGGAAATTATTTTTCTAGGCAGCATCAAGATGAATCATCTTCCTTTATTGAAGATAATTAAGAATTTTTACTTTCCTTTTGAGAAAGGTGGTTAGTCTAAAACATTGATCTAAAATATTTCTTTCAGGTCTTGAAGCAGTTTTGGCAAATGGTACTGTGCTCGACATGCTTGGGACTTTAAGAAAAGACAATACTGGATATGACCTTAAGCACCTATTTATAGGTGAAAAGAGATAATTTTTTACTTAGTCGTTGATGGTTTTGTCTCTTTATCAATGAAATTTTATGTTTACCTTCTTCAACAACCTGTATGCGTCTTTAGGAAGTGAAGGATCTTTGGGAATTGTTACAAAGGTTTCAATTCTTACCCCTCCAAAGTTGTCATCTGTCAATATAGCTTTTCTTGCTTGTGAAGATTACACCAGCTGCCAGGTAATATACGTCATGAGAGGCTAAGAGACTCCTTTCGTTATGATTTCTATTTTTCTTGGAAAAAAGCCCTTTGTCTTTTGCTACGTTCACATTTGGAACACCAGTATCCACACTTAAAATGTCGAGTGTGAAATTCCCAACTATATGTAGTGGTGAGGTTCTCATGACTATATACTTTTCTTCCATTTAATGATACTTGTAGAATAGATATAAAGTTGGGAAAATAATGTTTGATTTATTTTTTTGTACATCCTATTCTTGGCTCCAGAAACTTCTGTTGGAAGCAAAAAAGAAGCTTGGAGGAATTCTTTCTGCATTTGAGTTTCTTGATTCTGATGCAATGAGTTTGGTAAGTTTTGTCTATGGCCTTATATCTTTCTGATGAATTGACGTACATTTGCCTTTAATTTCGTGAACTTTAATTGATGACAATGATGGTGGTCTTTTTCATGCTTGTGCAATGCATGTAATCATGAAGAAAACTCTTATGTTGCTCCACCCCTAGAGAGGCACATGCAGAGTAGATGGTTAGTACTAAATTTCAAGAATTGTTGATATATTACATGAGGTGTCTGTTTGATTTAAAGGCAAAAGCTGTAAGGAAGTGGACTGAAGTAAATCTTATTTAGCTCTGATATCTTCCAAAACTTTGTAATTTATGGATATTTGTCCGCATGAAGCTATTAAGTTCATGTGTTCTGACCCCGTGAAAGTATATATTAACTCACAGTAACTAGGATAAAAGATAGCAAAAAAGACATTTTCTATGTGCTGCCACCAGTTTTGCCTGACTTAGATTTTGTTTTTTCGGCTTGGGGTTTTGGTGGGGATCTTATTATTATTATTTTTTTGGGGTTTTGGTGGAATACTCTAATTTCCACAAAGTTTTTGGTTGTCAGTCGATGCGAAATTCCCTCAATTCTATGAGGCTTTGATTTCTTGTGTTGTATGAAGGTTAGTTCCACAACTTTTTTGGGAACTGAAAATCATGGACAAGAAGTGATAAAAGATAAACACGGGCAGGATTTCACTTCCATTGATCTCAGGGCATTGCCCCTTGAGTTCTGGTACAGTTATGCAAGTGGAAGTATATTCATGTAATTTGTGCTTAATGTTTTTTAACTTTATCTCAGTATAATATACTCAGCTAAGTTACATGTGAGCGGCATTAGATTATGTATGCATAGTGTCTTGTACTTTGTGTGAATAATATGCTGTTAATTTCCATCACCATGCTTATATGTTACATGCGACAGGTTCTGAAACATTTGGATGGTGTTCGCAATCCTTTACCTCCCTCAATACACAACTTCTATATTCTGATTGAGACAACTGGAAGCAACGAAACTTTTGACAAGTAAAATATTTGCTACATGCCATCCTTAAAATTTTGTTGTCGTCTAAATTGAAGGTCTCGAAGAAAGTCACCGAATAGGAATTGGACAAAATAGTTGAATAGGTCTTGTTACAATTGACAACCTCTTCCCTTTACAGGTTTAAAAGCAGTTTCTTGTTTAACAAGGAAATAGAGGGGATACACTGATGAAATATTTTACCTGAAGAAAAAACTTCTGAAAAAAATACTTCTTACACTAGGGACACACTTTCTTTCTGTGGCATGACATGAATCTGATGAACAGAAGCTCTTTCTTTCTGTTTGGGATATTTTAGTTTCTATCAACGAGCTAGTTAGGACTTTTTTTTTTTTTTTGGTGGGGGCAAGCTTAGCTTAGTTCAGTTTGAATAATAAAACTTAGCAAATGATCTCCCAGATGTAAGAAGGTTATTAATTTTATGTAAACTGTTATCGTCCAAACTTGCTTGGGCAACCATAGGCATCAGTACAACCAGCTTGGCCAGCTATTTCCCATTCTATTTCCTAGTTGCTTTTTGCTTATAGTTTGAAAGGAGTTAAAACCTCTTGGACAACAGCCACCTTTGAAGTTAATGAATAATGCTCTTTGTTTGAACAAATGTCCAACGTTCTATATCAGAAAACTTAAGGTTTATCAAATAAATATGCCTGGAATGATGATTTGCTGCTTCTTTTGGTTCTAAACATTCTATCTTGATGTCTCCAGGGAGAACCTTGAGGCCTTCCTTCTTCATTCAGTGGAAAGTGGTTTGGTAGCCAATGGAGTTCTTGCTCAAGATATCAATCAAGCATCCTCATTTTGGCATATTCGTGAGGTTATTACCATGCATCCTCATTTTGTCGTATCATCAAAGTCACCAATATTACTTTGGAATTGGGAACTTACGCTCGGGTATTTGATATTATTTTATTTGCATAGACATCTCAGCTCTGATGTGGTGCTTCATCTGCTCTACTGAATTTCTCCTGATGTTTCAGTATCTCTCTCTGAAATTGAGAATAACATTTTGTTCTGTTATAAATTAGAATATCTCCTTGTTCTATATCTTGATAATAGTTTTTTGGATGTCAGAATTATAGTAGGAGTCAGATAAAATGGATTGACTTATTGCTAAAATCACGAGAACGTTTTGCATTGGAGCAAATAACTATGAAATTTCCTTTAATTTATAATTTTTAAACAGTATAAAAGAATGCAACTATTACCTAAAATATTGATTTCCGAGTGATCTGTTTAATAGCATGAAGTATCTTTAAATTACATGAGGCGTTTTGTGTATACATGAAACTTGCTAATATGCAGCTTCTTGGTTGCAGGGTTTACCTGAAGCTCTCATGAAAGCAGGGGCCGTGTACAAATATGATTTGTCACTGCCTCTTGAAAAGATGTATGATCTTGTTGAGGAAATGCGAGTGCAAATTGGTAATAATGAAATTCATTACTTTTTCTTTGTTTTATTGAACAGTAAGAATGCTGTTCTCTTTCATGGTGATACCTTGAAGGTGGAACAATCTTCTGGATGGGATTCATCCAATGGATGCATAGCTTCAGTAGTTATTTCTCATAACTTATCATGGAAGCCATGCTTCATTTCAACTTGAAGATCCTACTTTACTTGGCTGATTGAGTTTCACTTATTGAGTTCTGACTTCTTAGGTATAACATTACATTTGGACTTGACTGTCAGTAAGGTATTAAATGTTTCTGACAACTTTTCACACTTGCATGTTAATCTCTAGGTCCTGCAGCCAAAGTAGTGGCATATGGTCACCTTGGGGATGGAAACTTACATCTAAATATCTCAGCTCCAGCGTATGATGATAATGTAGCGTGCTTGTTCCCGCTCTCTCCGTGAAGTTCCCTTGATTCTGAATTGTAGTTACCTCACTAAGATGATCACACATATTTCAGATTTTGGCAAAAATTGAGCCCTTCGTGTATGAATGGACATCAAAGAACCGTGGGAGTATTAGTGCTGAGCATGGTCTTGGATTGATGAAAGCTGCTAAAATACACTACAGCAAGTCACCTGAAACTGTAAGGCTGATGATAGACTTTGATTATTGTGTATTCGAACTGTTACCTGACACATCTTGTCTCGATGATAATCATTCTATTATCTGTCTGTGTCTTTCTGCTTGATCCTACTCGTGCCTTTTGTTTTCCAATGCGATTTACAGGTTCAAATATTTTCTCCTTCCTTTACACACTCCGATCCTTCACTGATTTTTTATTTTTCCCAATTACTACCTTCCATCCATACAAGAATCTAAAACAAATTATTGTGTTGACAGGTGCAAGTAATGGCTTCCATCAAGAAGCTGCTTGACCCCAATGGTATACTCAACCCGTACAAAGTTCTTCCATCGAGCCTCCTCTCTCAAAATTAAGGAAATAAACTGATGATTTCAAGTGTCCAATTTTTCAGCTCAGAGTACGACTTGAGGTTTTTACACAAAATTGAGAATAGATTGCATAAGAAAATTCATACCCCAGATTGTAGATTACGGATTACAGGCTGAGAAATTGAGACTTCAATGAGACACGCTGTTCCTAAAAGTATGTGCAAGTAACTTAAGCCATCCTTCAATGAGCAGAATTTTTGTGCAAAGTAACTTGAGCCATCCTTAAAAGATTGTGATGACCATACTGTATACTGTTGGTATTTCATTTGTCTTCCAGTCTCAGTGAGAATGCCATTTCTACCGGTCGCTTACTCTACAAGAACATACCAAGACTAACATGTTTTGTAGGGACGATGATTAACCATGATCCAGTACCTAAATGCGGTTTTAATTCTCACGTAATGAGTAACTTATCATCAATATTGTTTATTGATTATTTACTGATTTAAGATAGGTCAAGATCGGAATAGGCATAAACTTTTATTCTGCAAACGCTAGATGCTTTCCAGAGTCTAGTTTTCTTGGTGGGGGCAGTCATAAAATTGAAATGATGCAAAGGATATGCCTAATCCTCCTTGTGTTGAAACTGAAATCCTGTCCTTTCAAGTTAATTACCTTGGAGGATACGTCAGTGGGTAATCCGATTCCTTCCTAGTGACAGCGTCCAAATGGGGTATAGCAAATAGCTAATAAAGTGTTTGCTTTAGATCACTTTTGACATATTTTTCCCTTTGTTCGTTTGACGAATTGTTTTCTAGAAGTAGATCTCGAGTCTTTTTGCCGACTTGGTCGACGAAAAAACAGATTGACAGGCCTGAGAAGAGCCGAATTCAGAAACTATTCCAGGGGAAGATATCGTGCTTACGAAGCCACTCGATACTTTGATGGTGCCTCGTAAGGAGACGTGTCGTTTACCTTGGACCAGTGAGAAACTATGCAATGAACTTGGCGTCGGTTAGGAACGAAGACCGGTGACTAGAATTTAGGAAACCGACTCGCATTACGTGAGCTGAGGGGCAATTCTGACTATAGATTTAGGATTCAAATCTCTCTCTGCAGCAGTGTGCAATAGTGTATTTCTTTGGAATAATTGACAGGAAAATGACAATGGTTTTCCTGTTTAGGGATTCAAATTTTTTCCTTTTCCGTTTGTTGTAAATATGTAGCATGAAAAGGTTATTTTTGGATGGGCAAGTCTAGTTAACCTAATACGTCTTCTTCTTAAGCGAGGTGACTTTGTGCTGTACTTTTCCTGGTAAACACACTAGACGGCGCTTTTTTCCCTCGGAGTACCTCCAATGATTAAGTTAGTTTTGTGAGAAATGAATAATGGGAATGAAAATAGTAGAGAGTCCTCTCCCTTTATTTAGGAGGGAATGGTATTTATAGAAGACCAACCGGAGGGAAGGATAGTGGACTCCAATTTCCTAAGATCTGACCAACCGGAGGGAAGGATAGTGGACTCCAATAAGGCGTCAGTTCATTAGTCGAGACACTGAGGTATTCGTGAGGTGATGAGTTGAGATGACTGAAGACGCGTGAGAACTCGGCATTTCACTGGGAAGCCGAGTTGATACAATTTCGGGCCGAGATGACGGTAAATACAGGAAGTCCCGGTCCTTTCTTTAGAGCGATCGGGCCGAGATGACCGTCCTCATAATAGTAATATAGATGAGCTGTTGTATTTGATTTAGAAACCAATAATAATTGACAGGAAAATGATAATAAGGGTTTTCCTGTCTCGGCCCGGCATCTTGGATTGAAGGGAAGACGTCAAGGGCTCCCGTCAACTTTCTACACTAAAAAGAATAGGAACTTTCTATTACTTTTTGTGTGCTACTTCTTTTTTAGTTTTAGACTGGGTGGTTTACACGTAATATATTTTTCAAGACAGAAAATGAATTTTGCTGATTTTGGGAACTATTGGCAACATCCCACTTTCTCAAGGGGGGGTACTATATTTTTTTTCGGGTAGGGACATCCCACTTCGATCATCATCAAACCGGGCCCATTTTGGACCAATTCTTGTTCTTTAATTACTAGTATTACTACCATCTGGTAAATCATAACAAGCATCAAGATGGTGATGCGATCTCAATGGGGTGATAAAATCTCGTTCACCTCAAACGCTCCCGTTGACGACATTAATTTAGTACTAGAATTTATTATATCAACCGCAGCAGGAGAGGAGGTCAATATTTACCAAGAAAATTAGTACTACTAGTTACTAGTATAACTTATAGCAGTAATAAGAATTGTTATAAAATATCCCACTAGCACAGTTGTAGAATAAAATCCTTAAATACCGTACCAGGACAGTTGTAGAAAAATCAATACGAAGACAATAATAAAATATTATTTGGGGAAGAAATTAGTAGAGGAGTATTATTTGGAGAAGAAATTAGACGGGGTGAAATAAAAGCAAAAAAGAAAGAATGGGGACAGGACGTATTATTATTATTATAATTAGCAGCGGCAGGGCCATATTCCTTGTGTGCTCCTCCGTAGAATCATCCTCCTCGTCGTCAATAGTCGGCCTTTTACTGTCTATCCGAGCCAGGTATCAGGTGATCTTGCGACGCCATGACCGGCTCCTCCGCCGCCTCTCGCAAGGTTTATTCCTCTCAGTCTCTCTATATGGAATTTGTGGATAATTTTACGAAATTGCGCTGTACAAAATTTTAGCTTTTCTTTTCCGATGTAGAGCTTTCTTTCTTAGATTCATTTAAAGATTATTATCTTGACAATAGTAATTGTTGAATTAGGCGTTAAGCAAAATAGCGACCAACCGGTTGCAGAAGGAGCTGGTGGAGTGGCAGGTCAATCCTCCTGCTGGTTTTAAGCACAAGCCCACCGATAATCTTCAGAGGTTGTTTTCTTTTTCTTTCTTGTTTATCAGTTTTCACTTTTTTTAGCCCAATTGCTTCTTGCTCCTAACAATTGTTTTATTCCCTTTTTTTTTTTTTTTATTTGGGGGGGGGGGGGGGAGGGCGGTGGGTGGACGTTGATATGATACGGGATTTATTCATTTCGTACAGGGAAATTATTGATACTAAATCGATTTTTAATGAATGAATTACTGCTTTTTGTAACATTGTAGTTGTTTATAATTGTGATTAGCTATTGATTTAGTAAGTTGATTTGATAAAAAGGTGGGTCATTGAAGTGCATGGAGCTCCTGGAACTTTATATGCTAATGAAACATTTCAGCTACAAGTAGATTTTCCAGAACATTATCCTATGGAAGCGCCCCAGGTTGGATCTTTTTACAGTATTTCTTCTTTTTTGTTTTAATTTTTGGAGTTACTGTGTATAATTTTGGCAAAAGTTTCTTTGAATGGCATTCTGATTTGTTCTTTTAATTTGGGATTGATGCAAGGTGATATTTTTGAGCCCGGCTCCTTTGCACCCTCATATCTATAGCAATGGCCACATTTGTTTAGGTAAGCTTAATCATATGACATTTCATAAAAAATCTTTGCCACTTAGGTTTGCCGGATGCAGTTAATCTGCAGAGATTTCTTTGCTCTTTTGATTGTTAGGTTGGTGTTCTTTGTCCTTATTTGCCTTTTCTGCGGATGTCAATACAGGGGATCTAATCTATTTGCTGTTAAAACTCTTTTTGTCTAATTAAGTTTAGCATCTCAAGAAATGGAAAGATTTGTGCGAGTTATATGTTACGCCACCACTAAATTTATTGTCACCATCATGCAATGACAGCGATAGTTCTATTATGTGCAAAAATCACTACTATTTGAACGCACTGAGATGGCAGTTACTTTGAGAACATTGCCGTTTCTTCAAATCTTCTATGTATTAATTGTACCCTCACTTGTCTTTCCAATCTTCCTGAAAATAGGTTTCTCTATTTCTCTCTTAAGAGAAGGAAAAATTCCTCATATGATTGAAGCCGTTTAGTCCTTGTTTTTATAGTTTCTTAAAGTTGTTTGTTGTAATTTTTAGCATGTGCTAACAAAAAGCATATTATGAGGACCGTTGCATGTTAAGGTTTAGACTCTTTATCCTCTTATGAGGTTTGAGAAATGCAGCATTTATTGGGATTTTCATTTTACAGACAAGCTGCATTACCAATTGTTGACACTGGATGTTGTAGAAATTGCTCTTTTAGGAAGGGGTAACAAGAGTATGAGATAGCATTAGTGGGAATTGCATGTCCCCATCTAGCTCGATATTGTTCTCTGCTTGATAGGGATACAAGAATATGATTGGCTATTTGGCTTCCTATTAAAACTAAGATTTTTTTCTTGTGAATGGAGAGAATCAAAGCTTCTCCTGTGAATACATCTCTGGATTACTCAAGGTGAATGACAAGAAGCTTGAAGCTATAATGGCTTGGATTTTTAAGTTTCTGGTCAGAGATCCTCAGCCCAGATTAAGAGAGGAAGTGGGAGTACCTCGTTCCTTACTTACTAGAACACTCATTAGGAATTTTAGATTTTTGAGTTCACTTTTAGGAGAATTACATTTTCAAAACTAAATGAAATGGCATCTCTATGTTTTTGCCTCCTGCAACTTGCGAATATTGGCTCCACAGCTGGTCCTAAAATGTATGACGTTAACATTGGTGAAAGCAATGAAGGCCCAATGTGAGACCGTCTTGATTGCCTTTGCTTGTAATGCCTTCCATGCAGTTAGATACTTATCATTGTGACTCTGGCCTTCGGAAAATCAGTAAATCATATCTTATATATCCTCGTGCAATGCAGATATTCTGTATGACTCATGGTCCCCTGCCATGACTGTTAGCTCTGTCTGTATCAGCATTCTATCAATGCTGTCAAGTTCAACCGTAAAGGTATGCCTCTATTAGTCCTTGACGGCTTCTAGATTAGGTATTTTTCAATCACCTGCAAATCTCGGATGCATATTAATCCTTCGTTGCCTGTATGTGCAGCAACCACCAGAAGACAATGATCGTTATGTAAGAAACTGTAAAAATGGCAGATCTCCAAAGGAAACAAGATGGTGGTTTCATGATGACAAAGTGTAAAAATAATAATTTCTTCACTGTCATTAACTGTTTTAAGGAGGCAAATCAGCTCTTATTCCATTGGTAGATGAATTCAGCTTAAAAGTAAAGCTAAATATTGGCAACCAGGAGTAGTGCCGAAGAACAATTCAATGTGAATTGACTATTTTCCTGGTATTTGTAAATGAAGAGCGGACTCCTATTTTGTGCTCGCTGCTAGAAGTACAATGTGCAGTGTCATGAACTCCAATCTGTGCTGTGTTTGTGGTGATTGCATCATCTAATCCAAATTAATTTTCCGAAGACATTTAATTTCTTATATACTA